GAAATTTCTGAAGAAGGGTCTAGGCCCGAAACGTCAGCTTTCCTGCTCCTCTGATGCTGCTTGGCCTGCTGTGTTCATCCAGCTCTACACCTTGTCACCTCATATTCTCCAGCATCTGCAGTTTCTACTATCTCTGAAACGATCGTAATATTCTATTACTTTCTCCCTCTGCATTTATCTAGTTTCCCCTTAAATACATCCACTCCTTGTGATGGTAAGTTCCAGATCCTCACCATTCTCTGGGGTAAAAAAGCTGAACTTCTGGCTTTATTTCTTTATGTTCTACTTAAAACTAAGAAAGTGTCACTGTACTATAATTACTGCAATGTTTAACTTTCAACTTTGCTCTTTCTTTCTTAAGATTCTGTAGCTAGGTACATGTACCTAAGATGATGCCTTGTGTGGCAACATTATACACTTTTCACTGCGCTCCTGTGCCTTTGTATTTGAGTACACATGACAATAAAATCTACATCAAAAGTTAAAACCCTGATCGTTATTGGATTTACTATCTTAAATTTATAACCAGGATTTATAGATTTGATTTGATTTTCCCCACAAATGGAAACCCTGCTCTCTATCTACCCTTTCAAATCCTATCATAAATGTCTTTGTTTTGTTTTAGGAACTGAAGTGAGTGAATCCTGGTACAACGAAATCAAGAAATACAACTTCAGTTCTCCTGGTTTTAAGAGTGGAACAGGTGAGAGAAAGAGAGTCAACGGGAAAAACAAGGTATTTGAGACAGTACCGCACAATAAGAAAGGCAGAGGTAGACAGCAAGCGAGAGGAAGAGAGGCAGATGTGCTGTCCATTGCACTGAGTAAGATTAACTGCTATTGAACCAGCTTTATTTATATTTCCCCAATAAATAGGACAGTTAAACAAAATGCTCAAATTTTGCAACATATCACAAATTCATGCACTGGTTATGTTGCAGAGAGGCAGTGACACAGATAAAATGCAACTACCTGACCATTCTTCTCCAAGTCACAAGAACACCTTCATTTGGATGTCATTCAGTCATCACTTTTGGATCAAAGTACTCGATCTCCCTATTCAATGTCACTGCAGGTGACTGCAATAATTCAAGAAGGTAGCTCACCAACGCTTTCTCAAGGACAATTAGAGGTGAATAATAAATGCTACCCCAGCTAGTGAAGCCCACATCCCATGGACAAATTAACACATAGAGGCAGAGTCATGTGAGATCATTACAGAGTTATTTGAGAGAAAGGCAGCTGAAGAGATAGAGGAGCAAAAATATTCAGGCATAATAAAATCTATACTATATGAAAATAATAAAATATAAGGTATGTCAAGCACCATGTAATGACCGAGAAAGATGAACGTTAATGTTTTGCTCAGTACCCAACAGATCCAACACTTCTGTAAAGTCCTGCACAAACGTAACAGTAGAGTATGTGATGTTCATGCCCCATGCTATGGACAGAGCCCAGGCTGACTCAAAGTAATGAACCTCTATTGCATTTTATAGAACAAACAATGAACCCTATCCTGTGCAGTCACATACAAAGTCTTCTGTGCACTGAGGTCTGCCCTGAACTTGGTGACAACCCCACAGACATTGGCACCACAGTGCACCGTGACAAGGTGACAATTCCAGTATTATTGACACCCCAATCCACTCTGCAGCTGCAACCTTACAGATATAAACAGTACTGTCTCCCACAGTCACAGGCCTTAAAACCAACGGGCATATAGAAACATTGAATCATAGAAAATAGGAGCAGCAGTAGGCCATTCGGCCCTTCGAACTTGCTCTACCATTCAATGTGATCATGGCTGATCATCTAACTCAGTCCCCTGTTTCCAGTTTCTTCCATTACCCCTTGATCCCTTTAGCACTGAGAACTATATCTAACTCCTTCTTGAAACTTCAATATTTTGGCCTCAATCACTTTCTATGGCAGAGAATTCTACCGCTCACTGGGTGAAGAAATTTTTCTTCATCTCAGTCCTAAATGGCCTACACTATATCCTTAAGCTGTGGCCCCTGGTTCTGGACTCCCCAGTCATTAGGAACATACCTCCTGTATTTATCCTGTCTAGTCCTGTTCGAATTTTATAGATTTCTATGAGATCCCCCCTCATTTTCCCAAACTCCAGTGACTATGGTCCTGACCAACCCAACCTCTCGTCATATATCAGTCCTGCCTTCCAAGAATCAGTCTTGTAAACTTTTGCTGCACTGCCTCCTTAGACAGAACATCCTTTCTCAGATAGAGACCAAAACTGCACACAATACTCCAGTACACTCCCACCAAGGCCCTATACAATTGCAGTAAAATACTTCTGCTCCTGAACTCAAATCCTCTCACTATAAAAGCCAACATATCATTTGCCTGCTGCACCTAGATTTTTATTTTCAGTGACTGATATACAAGCTCACCGAGATCTTGCTGCACCTCCCCCTTTCCCAATTTATCACCATTCAGATCATAATCTGTCTTCCTGTTTTTGCTACCAAAATGTATCATCTACAAGAGCTGAGACCGCAGAAGATCTGTGCTTCAGTCTGCTCAGCAATTGGACTAAGCAAGTCATGTCGTAGACCTCACTGTTGCCGCCTGGTCTACAGTCCAGGGGTGCAGGCAGAAGAGCTCTGACTGTAGTCAGCATGAATATGGTTACTGCCTCAAGGTGACCTCAGACATAGCCCATCCAACAGTGGCCATGGTAAATGGACATCAGTGCGCTAAGGTGTGAAAAGCCTGTTGCTGGTGTACTATCAAGGCTATTTTCAACAAGTAACACTCCTCTCTCTTCAATCCTACTGAAGTATAGGCCGGCCACTGCATTTACTCTTCCAGCGTGGACACACTTAGAAGGGATCAAAGGTTGGGATTAAAGCGGCAGAGTAAAAACACTCACCAAGGAGGAGCATGAACGTGGCTTGTAGTTCCTTGGGTCTAGAATGTTAAGACATAAGATGTTTCAACGGAAAAAAAAGGATTCAATGGAGAAACTACTTCCTGTAGTGAGGGAATAAGGAATATGGGGATGCAATCTCCAAACTGAAGAGTGTGAGTGCAAGCTCAAAGCATTTTATACACCAAAGGCTGTGAATGCTGGGTCAATTGGAACTTTCAAGACTGCAATTTAGAGGTTTTTAATTAGGCTATGATATAAAGGGATACGAACCAAAAATAAGTAAATGAATCTGAGGTACAAATCTGTGACTGATTCGCAAAAGAAATTCGACAAAGCTGAATTACCTTCTCATTTCAATGTAAGTGCCACGGTAACAATAGGAGAGTCATATCCAAATAATACAGTGAGGAAATAAATTGGTGCTGTTTTACTTTAGATTTCTCCCAAGTATTTCTAATTGGACAAATATGTAGTAACACCACAAGGTATGGTGAGTGGTCAGCAGTTGGAAATATGCAGAGGAACACAAGGCGTTGTTAGGTTCCAACTGTTCATCTGCTATCACTCTGGTAATCACATGGCACAGTGATAATGCAGTTGTTGACTAATCATAGCAATCAATTCCTATCAACAAGAGAAACTAGATCATCCTAACTGGGCTGAATGGCCTTTTTCTGTGCCATTATTCTGTGAATTCAGTGATTTGGAATAGTTCTCTTTGGAGGAAAGGAGTCTGGGGAGATTTAGTTAAAGCAGATTTATTAGTCAACATTATAAAGCTGTGGGAGTTTGCTCTGTCTAATTGGCTATTACATTTTGCACACTGTACAATGATGGTACTTCAAAGGGTACTGCAGTAGCTGTAAAGTATTTTAACTAGGAGCATAGCCACAAAATAAGGGGGAGCAGATTTAGGACTGAGCTGAGGAGGAACTTCTTCACCCAAATGATTGTGAATCTGTGGAATTCCCTGCCCAGTGAAGCAGTGAGGCTACCTCACTGAATGCTTTTAAGGCAAAGATAGATTTTTGAACAGTAAAGGAATTAAGGATTATGGTGAGTGGGTGGGTAAAGGGAGCTGAGTCCATGAAAAGATCAGCCATGATCTTATTGAATGGTGGAGCAGGGCATGGCCTATTCCTGCTTCTATTTCTTATGTTCTTAATAGATGTGCTCAAAATTGAAGATATAATTAAGAGAAACTTTTTACCACTGGCAAGTGGGTCAGCAACCAAAGACCAAACAACAGGTCATTGGCACAAAAAGGCAGGGGTGCAATGAAGGTAACAGGGCAAGATGTTGTAAATTGGAGTACATTGTCTGGGAAGGCAGTGGAAGCAGATTCAGTCACAACTTCGAAAAGGGAAGTAGACAACTTGAAAGAGAAAAAGCTTTCGGGTTGTGAGAAAAGATATGGAGAAGTGAGACTGAAACAAACAGAAATACTGTGGATGCTGGAAATCTGAAATAAAAGCATGAAATGCGAGAGAAACAGAGCAAAGTCTGGCAGCGTCTGCGGAAACAGCAACAGAGTTAACACTTCAAGTCTGCTTTGACTGTTCTTCAGTTCTGAAGATGTTATATCAGTTAACGTTAACTTTGTTTCTCTTTACACAGATGCTGCCAGACTTACTGAGTTTCTCCTGTGATTTCTGTTTGTATTTGGAAAATGAGAGTAATAGAATAGCTCATTCACAGATTTGTTTCAGTGGAACAGGTCACTTCCTTTTCTACTGAAAGACTTGGTCTACAATAAACTCAAGCATGGTGTAAAGAAATCTACAGTGGTGGAGAGTTTTAGGAACCGTAGACATAAATTCAGCTATTCCTCCAATCATGCTACATTAGCCAACATCATGTTTCAAACGAACTCAGACTGTATTCCCAAATATCATTTTCTACAGTAAATTTATTTAATTTGCATTCTATCTCTGAAAGCTCTGTGGGTGTACCTAAACCAAATAGACTGCAGCAATTCATAAACACAATTCACCATCATCTTATCAATGAAAATTGGGAATGTGCAATTAGTTCTGGCCTAGCCAGAGGCACACAAATCACTTGAACACTTTTTTTAAAAACTGAATGATCCATGTTGGGAATATTTTCAGGGAGACACTATTTGGATGGTGTTTACAAGTCATTTAGTTGAATGCATGAAAACAAGGGGAAAGATTACACTGCTGGGATGAAACTGTGAAATAAGGAAGCCCAAGCAAGTTAACTTTTGCTGGGATCAGGTTCCAAGTGTACAATGCACTTTCTGTTGGCACACGCAGTGGCCATTACTCACTTGTGAACTCTAATGCTGAGTTTTGTGTAACTACACCATCCTATGGGGCAACCTAGCCACATCTGATATTCTCATACATGATGTCTGTACAAATGCCCTTTCAGTTATGGAAGCATAGACCCTAGGCTGACAGTCCTACTGCCTTACTGAGGAGAGTGTTGGGTAAAATATCTTTGACAGGGCATGTTAAATCAAGTTCCCATTTGCCCTCTCAGGTGAGCATAAAAGATTCAAAGAATGGGAAGACAGTTCTCCCTGATGTCCTGATATTTATCTGTCAACCAACACCATTAAAACAGATTTATTGGCCAACATTATAAAGCTGTGGGAGTTTGCTCTGCCTAATTGGCTATTACACTTCCCACACTACACAAGGATGATATTTCCAAGGGTACTGTGGTGGCTGTAAAGCGCTTTATGAATCTTGCGGTTGTAAAAGGCACTATAAAAATGCAAGATTTTCTTTTTGTGTTGAAACTAGGCCACTTCACCCAGATGGTGTGGAAGGAATCACGTGAGATGGGTGCTGGCTGTGCTACAGATGGGAAGGGTATGTTCATGGTGGTGGCAGTCTACAATCCACCAGGAAATATCACCAATCCCGGATACTTCGAGAAAAACGTGTTACCTCCCAGTTAAAAACTAACTGAGGAGGAAGAGGAATGGGGTCAAATGCCAAACATTGTACTAGTGTATACTGATGATTGAATGGGATTGCTTGGAATTGCATTTGGAGCTTAATGAGAAATTTAAATAAGATTGTTTTCCAGGTTTTGGGTGGATTTTACCATGATATATTTTTAACAAGATCGTATAACAGAAGATTGCCTACCCCTGATTTCTTTTTTCTATTCATTCATGGGATGTGGGTGTCACTGGCTAGGCAAGCACATATTGCCCAGAGGGCAGTTAAGAGTCAGTCACGTTGCTGTGGGTCTGGAGTCACATGTAGGCAGGACCACGTAAGAATGTCAGTTTCCCTCCCTAAAGGATATTAGTGAACCAGATGGGTTTTTCTAACAATCAACATGGTCGTCATCAGACTCTTAATTCCAGATTTTAATTGAATCTAAATTCCACCATCTACCATGGCGGGATCATTACTGGGGTCTCTTGTGTTAATATTTGAGTGATAATACCACTAGGCCATTGCCTCCCCTTCCTGAACTCCTTCATTGGTACCATGCTGTTAGTTGTTGGGATGTGATACTGCCTCTCCAACTCAATTCCTTCCTTTAGAACGCTCCTTAAAACCAATCTCTTTGACCACCTTCTTAATATCTCCTTATGTGATTCAACATGAGATACTGATTCCCTGGATGGCAGGACTGACATATAAAGAAAGACAGGCTCAATTGGGCTTGTATTCGCTGGAATTTAGAAGAATGATTTGGATACAGAACTGGCTCGAAGGTAGAAGACAGAAGGTGGTGGAGGGGGGTTGCTTTTCAGACTGGAGGCTTGTGATCAGCGGTGTGCCACAAGGATTGGTGCTGGGTCCACTGCTTTTTGTCATTTATATAAATGATTTGGATATGAATATAGGAGGTATGGTTAGTAAGTTTGCAGATGACACCAAAATGGGAGGTGTAATGGACAGCAAAGAATGTTACCTCAGAGTACAACAGGATCTTGATCAGATGGGCCAATGGGCCGAGGAGTGGCAGACTGAGTTTAGTTTAGATAAATGTGAGGTGCTGCGTTTTGGAAAGGCAATCCAGGGCAGGACTTATACACTTAATGGTAAGGTCCTGGGGGGTGTAGCTGAGCAAAGAGACCTTGGAGTGCAGGTTCATAGTTCCATGAAAGTGGAGTCGCAGGTAGATGGGATAGTGAGGAAGGCGTTTGGTATGCTTGCTTCTATTGGTCAGTGCATTGAGCATAGGAGTTGGGAGGTCATGTTGTGGCTCTACAGCACATGGTAGGCCACTTTTGGAATACTGTATGCAATTCTGGTCTCCCTGCTATAGGAAGGATGTTGTGAAACTTGAAAGGTTTAGAAAAGATTTACAAGGGTGTTGCCAGGATTGGAGGGTTTGAGCTATAGGGAGAGGCTGAGTTGGCTGGGGCTATTTTCCCTCGAGTGTCAGAGGCTGAGGGGTGGCGTTATAGAGGTTTATAAAATCATGAGGGGCATGGATAGGGTAAATAGACAAGGTCTTTTCTCTGGGGTGGGGGAGTCCAAAACTAGAGGGCATAAGTTTATGGTGAGAGGCGAAAGATTTAAATGTGACCTAAGGGGCAACATTTTCAAGCAGAGGGCAGGGCATCTATGGAACAAGCTGCCAAAGGAAGTGATGAGGGCTGGTATAATTACAACATTTAATAGGCATCCTGATGGGTACATGAATAGGAAGGTTTAAATGGATATGGGCCAAATGCTGGCAAATGAGACTACATTAATTTAGGATATCTGATTGGCACGGATGAATTGGACCAAAGGGTTTGTTTCCATGCTGTACAGCTCTATGACTCTATTGGGACAGGAGGGGCAGAAATCTCATAGAAACGTAAAAAATCTTGATGGGATTGGACAGGCTAGATGCTGTTTCCAATATTGAGGAAGTCCAGAAGTAGGGGCCGTAGTCTAAGAATAAGGGGTAAGCCATTCAGGAGTGAGATGAGGAAGAATTTCTTCACTCGGAGAGCTGTGAATCTGTGGAATTCTCTCCCACAGAAAGCTGCTGAGGCCAGTTCGTTAGATATTTTCAAGAGGGAGCTGGACGTGGCCCTTCCAGCTAAAGGGATCAAAGGATGTGGAGAGAAAGCGGGGAGAGGGATCCTGAAATTGCATGATCATATTGAATGGTGGTACAGGCTCAAAGATCTGAATGGCCTACTCCTGCACCTATTTCCAATGTTTCTCTGACATCAATTTATGTCTGACAGCACTCCTTGCAAAAAACTTGGAATATTTTGCAGTGCTAAAGTGCTATATAAACAGAAGTTGTTGTTGGGATATGCTTGGAGTCTGATGTATCAAACACTTTATGGATTCCTGCAGATTCTCATTTCTGTAATTGGTAAAGGGCTTTGAGTTATTCAATCTGTTTATATACTGGGTGTCCGGTTATCAAAGGGTTATATTGGGTCAGAATTTCTTAATAAGGCAATTCCGGCAGAGTTATGGACAAAGAAAGGCTTCAGCATTTTCCCAGAAATGTGTATTAGTTTGTTCAAGCTGGAGCTGACCTTGGGGGACTTTACAACTTGCTCACTGACTTGCTTCACCTCAAAATGCAAAGGGGTCAGGAGCTCAGAGACAGCAAGGGCCGCTGAGTAGCTCTACACCTTTCCCCAACACTCTCACAGTTCCTCTCTCCTGTGCCCTCTGCTCTTATAGATCCCTCAACACCCCCCCACCACCTAACCCCTGCGATCCCTCAACACCCCCACCACCCAGCCCCTGCTCCCAGTGACAGGTTGCAACAAATTTCAAGTTTCAAAATGGAGCCATAGTGGAGGAGGCACTGTCTCATTGGGTTCATTTTATATCCTCCATGCCCGTCCATGCACTGATTTTAAATGCTTTCTAAAACTGCAGTTGGGTTTTCCATTTCCCTGCAATGAGCAGTGAGTGGGTAACAGCCGTCAAATGCAGAGGCACACAGGCATCCTTCTGAGTCCCAGGTGATGCACACCACAGTAACAGAGTCATGAAATGAAGCTGCCACACTTACCAGGCTGTAGCTGAAATGTTTCTCCTTGGGATCAGGAAACATTATCCACTTGGGCAGCGTCAATACTTCAGCACGTGAACCTACACAAGTCACTGTTTACTCTCAGTGCCCTGTTGCCAGTGCATGCTGCATTAACACTAAACTTCAAAGGACAATGCAAATTGGTCCATCACCCCTTCAGCAAGGATAGTAACTCCAGTCACCTGTATTTCTGGAGATCTGATCACATGATTTCTGACCTCCAACCAATATCCAATCTAACAGCCTTCCCTGCATTAATCTCCAAAATATTTAACAAAGGTCAAACTATCAGTACCTCTTTTCTCGCTCATGTTTTTGAAATCAGTGTCCATGCAATTAAATTATACGACAGAACGGATTCAAGGTGTGAAAGGCCAACTCTTGTTTCTATGTTTATATGACACCTGCCTCTTGAACATCTCAGACTATTGCTCCAATAACGTGGCAAGATGTACATAACAGCCAGGGCCAAAGCCAGAGAGAAGGGGGTATCCTAATTTTGGATTAGTGAATCAACCTGACATGAATAAACCTCAATGAGATAAACATTTACTGTGATTGATTCTGACACATCTGCTTATTTCTACTTGTGGCATTGGGATCTGTTCAAACAGTAATCTGACTTCATAACTTGGAATTGCAAAGAGGGTGAAAGTACTCTTTGATAGATGTTTTGAGTTAATACTATGCCCCTTCGAATGTAACCATTTGTGGATATTCTTTAAATTAAAAATTGCTCAAGACATCTTTTGTAGTCTGCATTAAACTATTCCGCTCTGCATTTCAAATTCCTACCGAGCCCCCTCTCCAACTTCTTTGCTGTGTTCAAATTCTACCTGTGAGATTTTCAATCACAAACTGTGACCAATCTCAGCTGGAAGTATGCAATTTGCTAATCGCAAAACACCATAGTCACAGGAGAGCAAGAGATCACAATCTTCATGAACGAAGGAGAGTTGGCCAGGCCATTGCTCAGTCTGCACAGCCTACAGTTCATTATAGCGGATGTTAGCGAGTAATGTGAAAGCGTTGATATTCCTGCCTTTTAATTTAGCCACTCCACTTATTTAAGATAAGTTTTTAAGTATTTAAGATAAGCTTATTTAAAATAAGCTATCAACATTGCTACAATTGATACAACATTAACATGTTCAGCATATTGCCAATAACTGGAGTGGAATGGTGGCTCAGAGGTTAGCACTGCTGCCTCACAGCACCAGGGTCCTGGTTTCAGTTCAATCCTCAGGCAACTGTTTGTGTGGAGTTTGCACATTCTCCCCGTGTCTGCGTGGGTGTCCTCCGGGTGCTCTGGTTTCCTCCCACAGTCCAAAGATGTATAGGCTACGTGAATTGGCCACGCTAAATTGCCCATAGTGTTCAGGGATGAGTGGGTTATAGGGGGATACATCTGGGTGGGATGCTATGAGGGTCAGCCTCAAAACCGACATCTATTTCAAGCCCACTGACTCCCACAACTACCTAGACTACACCTTCTCTCACCCACCTTCCTGCAAGAATGCGATCCCCTACTCCCAATTCCTCTGCCTCCGCCGCATCTGCTCCCAAGATGAGGCGTTCCACTCCTGGACATCCCAGATGTCCTCTTATTTCAAGGACCGCAACTTCCTCCCTTCCGATGATCGAAAATGCTCACGACCGCATCTTTTACGTTTCCCGCACCTCTGCCCTCACAGCCCCTCCCTGCAACAAAAACAAAGACAGAATCCCCCTTGTCCTCACATATCACCCCATTAACCTCCGGATTCAACGCATCATTCTCCACCACTTCCGCTACCTGCAATCTGACCCCACTACAAAGAATATATTCTATCTGCCTATCACCTCTATCTGCCTTTCATAGGGACCACTCTCTCTGCGACTCCATCGTCCGCTCCACACTCCCCACTAGCCCCACCACCCCCGGCACCTTTCCCTGCAACCGCAGGAGGTGCTACACCTGCCCCTACACCTCCCCCCTCACTCCCATCCCAGGCACCAAACAAAGCTTTCATATCAGACAGAGGTTCATCTGCACATCCGTCAATGTGGTCTATTGCATCTGCTGCTCCCGATGTGGCCTCCTCTACATCAGTGAGACCAAGCGGAGGCTCGGAGATCGCTTTGTAGAGCACCTGTGCTCTGTTCGTGACAAACAACACCTTCCAGTCACGAACTATTTCAACTCCCACTCCCTGGGTAACATGTCCATCCTGGG